GAGGTACTGTGTCTTTTGGTGATTCATCTGTTGATGTATTATTTGATTTCGGGGCTACGCATTCTTTTGTTGCAACCCCGATTGCTTTGGGGCTTGAGTTGCCTATTGTCTGTGCTTTCTCCACCGTTGCGGGTGACTACCGCCACCGGAGAAAAGTGTGATGCTACCACTGTACATCAAGATGTCATGTTTCAGTGGGATGGCTGTGACTTCTCGGTAGATCTGATAGGATTGCCAATGGCTAATTTGGAAACCATCCTTGGCATGGATTGGTTGTCCAAGTATTGTGTTATGATTGATTGTTGTGCCTAGCGAGTGGTGATGTCTCCGTGTGATTCCACAGCCAGTTCCTCGCCTTTTATTGCTACGGGCTAGGAGAGCCTTATGAGCAGGGACATTGGTTATGTCATGTTGGGAGGTTTGGTGAGTGGGACACAGAAGGATATCACTGGCATTCCTGTGGTGAGGGAATTCCTTGGAGTATTTCCGGAGGAGATTCCTGAGTTTCCGCCTCAGAGGGAGATAGAGTTCTCTATTGAATCGCTGCCTGGTGTGGGGCTTGTTATTAGCTCTATACCAGATGTCGCCACCAGAGTTGGCTAAGTTGAAATAGCGTTCTGAGGGTCTTTCGGTGAAAGACTTCATCCTACCGAGCGTGTCTCCATGGGAAGCACCGGTCATGTTGTTATTGAGGCAAGATGTCTTACGTCATTACTTAAGCGTGATGGTGCTTTGTTTGAGAATGTGAAATTCTCTTCACGGAAACTAAGGGTGTGCATGACAACCATTCTATTCCCGAGCACTGTTTCTGTGCCTTAGAACAATTTCTGAGAAAAAAAATGTGTTTGATAACGTGTTCCATTTTTATTCCGAGAATGAGAATTATGTTTGATAATACAACAAATAATATAATAAAAAATAATTCCTATTAAATATAAAAAAAATTTAGATCAACTCTTTCCTTTCCATATGGTGTGGTTGTGGTGGTGGCGGCGGCGACAGTACGGTAGTGGTGGTGGCAGTGACGTGGTTAAGATAGTGGTGGTGGTTGTGACGGCAGTGGCTGCGACGATGGCGGTGATAATGGTGGCAGCGACAGTGGTAGTTGTGGGGATGGTGGTGGTGGAGATGACGGCAGTGGCAGCGACAATGGTGGTGGGTATGGTGGTTGGTGGCGACAACAATGGTAACAGTGACATGGTGGTGGTGGTTGTGAAGGCATCATGGTGGTGGTGGTAGTGGCTGCGGCGACGGTGGTGGTAGGTGACAGTGGTGGTGGTGATGGTATGGTGGCGATGGCTTGGTGATGGTAGTGGTGGCGTTGGTGTAATGGTGGCGATGGTGGTGGTGATGACGGTAATGGTTGTGACGATGGTGGTGGTGGTTGGTGGCGGCGGCGGTGCTGAAGACGATAGTGGTTGCGGCAATGGTAGTGGTGGTTGGTGACAGTGGTGGTGATTGTAGTTTGTGGAAATCAGTTCATTATTCTCATTTTTCACCACAGTCATCCCCCCTTTCTTGGGTACTGTTTGAACAGGACTCACCCAAGCACTGTCTGAGATAGGATAAATCATTCCAGCATCAAGTAGCTTCACTACCTCTTTCATAGTGGGGTTGAGTCTCCTCGGTGGTTGCCTCACTGGTTTGATTTCTTCTTCCATCAATATTTTGTGGGTGCAAAAGGAAGGATTGATACCCTTAAGATCTGAAGACTGCCATCCAATAGTCATTTTATTCTTCTTGAGTACCTTAATCAACTTCACTTCTTCACTCTCAGATAACATTGCATTGATGGATCATCCCCAAGGAACACATACTTCAGATTTGAAGGTAGTTCTTTAAGCTCTGCCTTAGGCGCTCTCTCGGGAATGTCATCAATCTTCTTTTCAAGCTCTTCCACTTCTGGTTCCTCTTGGTAATCTTCTGTACTTGTCTCCTCTTCTAATCTTTCTTCCTCAACTGAAAATGCTTCTTCTCTACTCACTTCTTCCACAACCTCCTGTATCACATCTAATCCGAAACAATCCCCCACATCAACAGGATGTTTGATGGCTTCAAAAACATCAATTGTAACAGTTTCCTCATCCACCCTCAACAACAACTTCCCCTGTTCAACATCTATCAGAGATCTTGCAGTTGCTAAAAAGGGTCTTCCTAACAATAGAGGACTTTCAGTATCCTCTTCCTCCATGTCAAGCATCACAAAATCCACAGGAAAAATAAACTTGTCTACCTTTACCAGGACATCTTCAATTACACCTTCAGGCTTCTTAATAGATCTATCTACAAGATGCAAGATAAGATTAGTTTCCTTCAGGGTGTTGATTCCCAAGGCTCTACATACCGCCAATGGCATCAGATTTATGCTGGCCCCCAAATCACAGAGTGTCGTCCCCACTTCCACATCTCTTATAGCAATAGAAATGCTGAAGCTTCCTGGATCTTGCAATTTTGGTGGAAGCTTCTTCTGGATCAGGGCACTACATTCTGCTGTCAGGGCCACTGTTTCACCATCATTCAATTTTCTCTTCTTAGTAAGGAGATCTTTCATGAATTTGGCATAGTGAGGCATGTTCTCCAAAGCCTCAGAAAATGGAATGTTAATTTGCAAATTTTTGAAAATATCTAGAAATCTTGCATAGTGCTGTTTCTGAATCTCTTACTTCAACCTCTGAAGGTAAGGAACTTTGGCATATGGAGACAAAGTAACTGGCTGGTTCTGCTTGTCAGCCATCTTCTTCTTCTCCCACTTCATTATCTTCTTTGGCACAACATCATTTTCAACTACCACCTCTTTTTCTTCCTTATCTTCCTTCACTGTTTCTTTTTCTTTATTTCCCTTCACCTTTTCTACTCCATCATCAGAGACTACATCTTCAACCACAACCTCCTCTTCATTCTTCTTATCTTCCACATTCTTTTTCACTTATTGAAGCAACAACCCACTTCTTGTCATGATTGCTTTGCAGTGCTGCTTAGGATTCACCATTGTTTCACCAGGAAACTTCCCCTGTGGTCTCTTAGATATCTGTCTTGATAGTTGACCAATTTGGGTCTCCAAATTCCTGATAGATGCTTCCTGATTTCTAAATGAAGTCTTGGTCTCTTGCATGAATGCAGATGTTTCCTTTCTGAATGAATTAGACCCTTGAATGTAATCTTGAGTAGTCTTGGATAACTGAGCAAAGGCTTTTTCCCATGTAGCAGTATCACTTGGTTGTGAGTATGTTGGAGGAGGATGCAGTGGAGGATTCAACTGATGGTTGGAACTATAACTAAACCCTGGGTGCTGATTCTTGTTCTTCCATGGTGGCACATACACATTTCGCCCCTGGTTGTTGTAATTCCTCTGGTTGTTATTGTCATACCAGACTCCATTAACTTCTGCTTGTTCTGATGATCCCCCATAATCACATTCCTCTGTCACATGGCCCTTTCCACATATAGCACACACGTACTTGGTGTCCACAGAAGCAACCTTTTGTGAGGATAGTTGCTTAGTGAGAACATCCAACTGTTGTTGCTGTTGTCTCTGTGTTTGCATCAACTGGTCATTTCTTGCCAATAGGGCATCATACCCATCCAACTTGATGATCCCCGCCCTTCTGTCAGGCAATGGGGCATTATCAAATTCCTGAGATGCCAATGATTCAAAGATATCCAAAGCTTCTTGAGGAGTCTTGGTGGTCAATGATCCACCAGCAGTGGCATGCACCAATGTCCTAGTGTTGGTGGTCATTCCTTGTAGGAAGATTGCTGCTTGTTGCCATGCCTCTATTCCATGCTGTGGACATTTCCTCAATAAAGTCTTGAATCTCTCCCAGGCCTCATAGATGGATTCTGACTCTTTTTGCTTGAAGCCTGTAATCTCATCCTTCAACTTAGCCCTCTCGGATGCTGAGAAAAATCTCTGCAAGAACTTGGTTTGCAGATCATCCCAAGTTGGTATACTCCCCTGAGGCAATGATTGCAACCATCTCCTTGCATCATCCGTCAGTGAATGAGTGAATAGTCTCAACAGAATTGCATCCCTTGTAAGACCATTAATTTTCACAGTATCACTCAACAGCAGAAAATTTTCTATATGCAAGTATGGGTCCTCTGCACTGGTTCCAGCAAACTGATCTTTCTGTACCAAATGTATCAATGCAGGCTTCAATTCGAAATTGTTTGGCTCCACTGTAGGGCGCACAAAACTCCCAATGGGAGGGATCACTGCAGGAGTCATGTACTCTCCCAGTGTCCTCTGTTCTGGTGGTGGTGGTGGTCTGTGGTTCTCTGCCATAACTTCTTCTTGGTTGACAGCACTGGTTTCACCCCTTTCTTGAAATTGTCTTCTTTGTCTGGCTGCCCTTTTGTTCTTCCTCACTGTCCTTTCTAATTCTGGATCATACAACAAAAAATTTGGATCAACCGTACCTCGCATACACCAGAATTAAAATTGACCAAAAACTTAACTAAAAGTAAAATGCTGAAAATAAAAGATTCAATCTCAGATTTCTATGGTATCAATCAAAATTGAAAAACAAATCCCCGACAACGGCGCCAAAAACTTGTTGAGAATCTAGCAAGTGTACTAGTCGTACAAGTAATAAAATGATGAGTAAAGATCGTTCCCACAAAGATTTGTATTCAAACACCAATGAACCATAGAAAACTAATTTGAATTAAACAAAGGTTTGTAAAAATCATGAATGTTTTGTCACCAGAAAGTTATTTTGAAAGTAAATTAATCTAATACTAAAATTTGAATTAAGATTTATAAAAACAAGTAGTCAGAAAACAACTTTCCTCAACAATAAACTCATGTAAACTGATCATATGATGAACTCTTTTTCCTGTGATGTTAATCAACCTTTTACTTATCCTCAAGATGTAATCCCTTACTACCCTGATAGATACATTAATCAGAAACCCCAATCCCTTGGTGATTCCTTTCTTAATACATGCATAAAATACTAAGGTCTTAAGATTACATCAGAACTATAGTATCAATTCCTTGAGTACTATAATCCTGATGATAAGATTGTCAGATATAGGAATAGTGTAAACATTCATGTTCTACACTCTTCCCTTAGTCGAAAGAATTGAATCAGAAAATCTCATATCAACACATGAAAAACACTTCATCATATTAATCAAACATACATAAGAATATCATTGAGTTCCATTGAATTCAGACTACAATGACTCTACTCAGACATAACTAAGGAAGATATAAGAGAAGAAAGATCAAACTCCATTTCCATGTAGTGAATCTTCAATCTCCAAGTACAATTACAATAGAAAACTAACTAATACAAAGACTAAGTCCTAAGAAATTTAGAGAGAAGTCAGATCAGAGAATCTGATGTAGGAGAGAGAGAGAGAGAGAAACTCCAGATTCTGTAAAATGTGAAGGACTTTGCCTTATATAGTTTTACAATTTAAAACAGAAATTTAATATAGGCGTTAAAACGTTCAAAATGAGCGTTTTAGCGTCCATGCTTGACGGATGCCCAACTGCTTTCAACTAACTTGAACGCTAAAACGTTCATGAATGGCCGTTTTAGCGTCCATGCCTTGTGAATGTTCAACTGTCCTCAACTGACTCCACCGCTAAAACACTTGGTTTGGACGTTTTAACGTAGGAGACCAGAGGCTTTTTCCAACATCAGGGCGCTAAAACGCTTGTTGCAGGAAGTTTTAGCGCCCAAGACCACCAACTTTTCATCCTCGGAATGCAGCAGCGCGCTAAAACATTCTGTGTGGACGTTTTAGCGCTCAGCACCTGCAAGTTTTGGCCTCTTACTGCAGCAGGGCGCTAAAACGTGCTGTGTGGATGTTTTAGTGCTCAACACTTAGGCATTTTTCTCCTCTTCAAAATCTTCTTCCTTCTCCAGTTGCCCTTTTAGCTTGCTTTTCCTACAAGAACAATACAAATTCTCAATAAAGCTTCTTGAACTTGTAGTTGAGGACATTCTAGGAGATTAACCTCTTTTTCCATCATTTAATCACACAAATTGATACTAATTCATGCTGAAAAACCTGATGAACTAAGGGTTTATCAGCATACAAGCATATAAAACACTTTTATTTGAGACTGTCATGGTGCTCGCGCATTCGGACATCTTGCTTCTCAAGCCACGGCTGCTTGTCGTCTAAACGCCACTAGCCTAATTTTCTAATTACAAATAATTAAAGAAACTCCAAAACATCTTTGGAGGGACAAATGAAAAATTAAAAAATTCAAAATTCAAATTACACCTCTAATTTAAACAAAGCAAAGTTACACCTTTAATTTAAAAATTTGAAATCCAAATTTCGGGCACCATGACCATCCCCTTCCCCTTTTGCACCTGAAAAATTAGACAACTTTGCAACCACAAGATATCAAATATCATAAAACATGTTCATTCACACGTCTTAACATTTTAACAATTAAAATGTAATTACAAGAATCATGATTCAAATTATCTTAATTTTCTCTTAATGGTCGAATTATATAACAATTTTGTAATTCAAATTTTGTTAACTCTTTCTCAAAGAACACAAAATTAAACCATGCATACAACCATAAACCCTTTAATGGCCGAATCACATATGCATGTACATGATAAATTTTGTCACAAAATTTTCATGCTATGCTCATGATACAATTCATGGAGAAAAATAAGAAAACAATCAAGGTACTCTAAGTACCCTTCATGGCCGAATCATCCCATTCAAAAAGGTGTTTCCTTTTAAAACTTTCACAAAGAAAAAGAAACAAAACCATGACTACATATAGATATATGAACATAGCAATCATATTAAGGAAGCGGTAATTGAAGCACTGAAGAAACAGGAGACTGGTTTGGAAGATAAAGATCCCTCTTCCCGTACCCACAAAATTCTCAACGAAGATGATGGCAAACCTGGGAGGAAACCCCAAGGGAGGCGTCATCCTATACTGAAGAAGGTACTGAAAAAGGAGGTGGTCAAAATTTTTGATACGAGTTGGAAGATGTATGCGAATCATCGGAGGTTGAAGGCCATCAAAAAGAGAAGTTTTGACAAGAGACACCGAGACTCTATCTCTCAGAAAATACCAATACTTCAAAGAGTTCTTAACATGGCTCCATGGTTTGGAACAAATCTGGGAATGGTGGTCTCATACACCAAAGCATCCAGTACCACCGGATCCTCCACTTGCTGAGTCATCCCACACTGCTGAAGGGGATGACATGGAGGGTTGATTATATCTCCTTGCTGACGGAGATTTTGTATATTAATTTTTTTTTTCTGTTTCGTATTTTTAGTTACTTTGTGTTGGTATATCTCTCTCTGATGTTTTAATGTGCGCATTATAGTTTATCCTATATGCCACTGTTTGTTCCATTGTGCAGGTTTTTCTTCTTTCTTGTGGTTTAATTATTGCTGAGGACAATAATTCTCTAAATTTGGGAATGGTAGGCTTGCATCTTAGAACTGCAATTCTTATATCAGGGGAGATATTCTAACTCTTTTAATTTTCTTAGTTATTTTTGTAGTATTTTGTGTGCTATATATAAAATATAAAATAAAAAATTTGGAAAAGGTTTTCTGAGCAAG